TAAAAGTAGAAGTACTCAGGTCTTGTACTTCAGTAAAAGTAGAAGTACTCAGCTCTTGTACTTGAGTGAAAGTAGAAGTACTCAGAGCTTGTACTTGAGTAAAAGTAGAAGTACTCAGCTCTTTTACTTGAGTAAAAGTAGAAGTACTCAGGTCTTGTACTTGAGTAAAAGCAGAAGTACTCAGACTGTACTTGAGTAGAAATCTGCAGGTCCGCTGCAACCCTATTTTTGAATCCAGGCTGAAGACTTTTCTTCTTGCCGCTCCTTTTAATTGAACTATTCACATCTCACACGGCACTGTATTTTTTCAATGTTTAGTTTATTTTCTTTGCTCTTTAATGACTGTTTTTAAATGCGTTTTTTTTTACTTCTTTCATTTTTGTAAAGCACTTTGAATTTCCTTGAGTTGAAAGGTGCTATATAAATAAACCTGCCTTGCCTTAAGAAAAGAGCGATGTAAAAGTACAAGTACCTCAAAATTGTACTTAAGTATGTACTTAGTTACTTTACACCTATGAGTTCATCTAATCTATTCTAAAACATTTAATATTCTTTACAGTTAGGTGTTCAGCTATGTGTTACAAGGAGAGGAAATGCATGACATTTAAAGATAAAATTGTTATTCTAAGACATAAAGTTCACCCTGGTTTTTGTTTGTAGTTTTTTTTGAGTATCTATATGTCTAAATTCACTTGTGATATTTGGGTAGAAAAGACTGATGTGTTTATGGGTCGGGAGGGGGTTTGGGAGCTTTTCCCTGCAGTGAAAGGGTCGTTCAGCCTCTTTACGACAGAGCAAACAGACCCTGCTGTGATCCTTAGGACAGGTGGGGCTCATTAGAAAGTGTGCTTTTGTCATCAGAGCAGAGGAATCAGCGTTAAAGCCGGGACGCCTGTTTTCACTCAGGGCGGCTGTCGAACAAACATGTGGAGGTAAACAGAGCTGTGTGACATGTCCAGACCTGGTGTGTCTGTTTCCTTTCCCTCTAAATCCACCACCACTTGGCTATAGAGAGGTGCAGTAGTGACAGATTGTTGTAGGCCAACCCATGACAGAAAGCC